TCGGCGGGAGCCGCGGGCGCGCGGGGCGCTCGCGCCGCCGCCTCGCCCGCCTGCCCGCGCTCTGAAAGCGCCGCGGAGCGCCGGGCTTCCTGTTTAGCAACCTCGCCGCTTGTTTGGCGGGCGGGTGGTGGGGGTTTTTCATTTTTTTCCCCTGAGAGGGAGAGGGAGGGAAAGCGGGGTCGGGGGGGGAAGTCTGGGTGTTGGGAGGGGAGAGGGGGAGAAGAGTGGAAAACGTTGGCTCTGTCCATGGTCAAAGTAATTCAGCTATAATCCCCCTTTCTCTTCCTCTCCTGGAGCTCTATTCATATTCTAATCACAGCTTTTCCTTCTCTAAACCAGCCACTTTTATCAGAGCCCTAGCTTTGCACTTTTACTTCCACTTCCAGCACATACAACCGCTTGCAGAATAAGCAACTTTTTTTTGCAGCCTCGGTCCTGTCCCCCGCCCCCCTCCCCAATGGGATAACCCTAAAAGGGATCCTCGCATCCTTGCTCTAGAGCTGCAAGGGAGCGTTACAGCTTGAAACCCCTCACGCTCGGCTCTTGGTTTCTCATGGCAAGCAGCACCCCCCCACACACCACACCCCCGCCTCCCAACCCCGTGAAGAGCTTCCCCGGCCAGGCGCTTTCTTTGGGCGCCCGGGCGGCGGCGGGACGTGTCCCCGGCCCCGAGGCACGGGGGGAGCCCTGGGGACATAAAGACTCGGCCGCCCCTCTCCCGGCTCCGCACCGGCAACTTCTCTCTTTCTCTCCCCCCTCCTTTCCCTACCCACACACATCGCGCTCTCTCTCCCCCCTCCTCCCCCCCCCCCGCAATAAACCAGCTCCCGGGATGTGTTTGGGATGCTGGGCGCCTTCAAATGCCATGTGCCCGCCCGGGCTCCCTAGGCAGAACCCCCCGGGAGGAGGCGGGGGGCGCGCGCACACACAGCCCGGCTAGCGCCGGCCAGCGCTACCCCGGCCCCAGAGCCCGTTTGAAGATCTAAGCCAATTTTGATCTCAGGCTGTAATGAGCCAAAGGTTCGGGCTGGGGGCCGGGGGAGGGAAGGGAGGAGTGGAAAGGCCGCTAGAACTTTAAATAAGAAAAACGTTTCTAATGCTCTAATAGAAGAGGGAAGTCGAAGTGTTGGGATTGCGTAGATCTAAGGCCCCCCTTTTTGGAGGAAAGCTTTTCTTATTCAAAACAGCATCACAATGGGCTTCACATTGAGCCTTGCCACATCCCCATCTGAGTAGCAGCCATTCATCAGGCTGGCTGGCCTATCAATGACATTTCTCCCATCAGGGCTTCTATAAAATGATGCTTTTTCCCATGAAACATCCGCAAACATTTTGACGGGTCTGGCTTTGCCCTGCTGGATTACCGAGGGTCCCTCTCCGCCGGGCGCGCCCGCTCCGCCGCTATCTCCCCGCGCCCTTCCTCCCCCCCTCGCCGCCCCCCCGCTCCCTGCTCGGGGCGCATCTTTGAGATAGGGGCTCTCCACCCCCCGGCACCTTGGGGCTCCCGTGCTGTCCATGGGAAGAGCATGCACTGTGGGTTACTGGAGGAACCCGATATGGACTCCACAGGTAAGTCCCTCCTGCAGGCAGCGCGCTCCCCTCGCGCCCCAGGGGACACTTTTCACCTTGACAGTGGCAACGGGAGGACCCGCGGGCCGCGGCTCTGGCCCGCACCAACTTAGCGGGCTCCTAGCAAACAGCACAGGCGTGTTCGGGGGGAGCTGCTGCTCCTGCGCTGAGATGGCACTTACACAGGCGGAGGAAGAGATATTTTTAAAAATTTATTTCTATTCCCCCTCCCGCCATAGGTTGCCGACCGGCAAACTAATTTTCTCTCCGCTTCTAATTTTAGGCGCTCGTTTAGATTAGAGTGGAGTCTTTGAGAGGGGCGAGCAAAGGAGATTTATTGAGGAGCGTGGATGGTTACTGCGAGCTCGGGACGGGGCTTGACTTGTGCCCCAGGCGGAGCTGGGAGCTTTGGAGGGGAGGAAATTTGGGGCAGATCCGCTGTCCCCTTTCACTCCTGCCCCAAATGCGGATACCCGCACGGGATGGGACGGCCGGCAGCGGCGACGGAGAAGGGCGCAGAGCAGGGCCCGCCCGCCCCGACGGCGGCCCCCGACCCCGGCTCCCCGCGCCGGGCTCCGCGGCGGCCGGGGCCCGGCCCGTGCCCCCCTCCCGGGGCCGCGGCCCGTCTCCGCCCGGAGCCCCCGAGCTCTGCCCTGCGCCCGGCGCGCCTCGCTGCAGCCACCCCGGAGCCCCTCTGCAATCCCGCTTAACTTGGTCAGCCCAGCAAACGCACCCCCCGGCGCCGCCTCCCGAGGCGGGCGGGCACCGCTCCGCTCCCCCGGGAGCTGCGGCGGCCGCCTCGGCCTTCGAGGCCCCGGGCCCTCCGGCC